ATGAAGTATCCATGATTTCGAATGTGACACTTATGTTTATCAATCTACGATTATGTGAAATCTTTGATACGATAGATACAGATGATGGTTTCTTTGGCAGAAAACACATTCTTCTATTTGAAAACTTATTGCAGCTTCCCCGTTATTAGTTATATATCAAAAAATTTTTTACATCAGATGTAGTTTGCACCAGATGTAGTACGCTTTAGTTTACTGAAAAATATGGTATATATGTTGTCAAAACATGATTTTTTTCTAAAGTGAAATGTAATTTGTCAAAAAAATCTATTCATTATATCGAGATATATTACTATGAATAATAAAAATTTATTATTGAAGAACTTTATGATATTTCAAAGAGAAAATTATCACGAAAAAAAAAATCTGTATGTCAAAGATCGTGTTAAAATCGAAGAGACAAAGAAAATTTATACTAGCCCGTACAATGAAAAATAATTGCTTGTAATTCCAAAGTACCAATGACTGTTAATGACTCGGAAAAAGAACATGGCGGCCTGCTCTCAAAAAACTTTCGAAGGATGGAAATAAATAATTGAAATAAAAGAATTATGAAAATTGTTTAGATTAAAAGCCTCTCATCTTTCTTTAGTAAAATTTCGTATTTTTATATCAACTTCGGATTTTGAATTTGTTATGCTGTATTTTCAGCGAGTAATTTATTGATAAAAAAAAACGTTGCCTTATTACCTGAAACGAATAAATACTAATTAAATCCAAAATTCATAAATAAGAAGTTCTCAGGTCAAGTACAAAGAAGCTATACAGTTAACGAGTACTGATTATATGACGTAATATATATTCACTTCGTTATAGAATTTTTGAAAATACGGTTCTAATGTAATACTTTTTGTACTTCAAATGTTGTAACAATTACTCTGTAAAAGACATTATTTCTAAATGGACACTGAGAAACTCATCAAAGTTTTTAGAGATTAGGCCGCCATGTTCTTTTTCCGAGTCATTAACAAATTGGTACTCTGGAATTACAAGCAATTATTTTTCATTGTACAAACATATCAATTATTTTTCATGGTAATATATTATTAAATTTAGATAATATACACTTTATGTATGTTCATTTTGAACTGGCACCTTTATTTTAATAATATATCAGTTACTTTTCACGGTAATATATTATTTTAGATGATCATTTAAATTTTTAAAGTTTTAAATTTTTGAGGAGCTTTTTTTGAACATGGCCTGAACTTTTCATTTTTATGATTTTTTTTATTGATTTTTATCATATTCCTTACTTATTTATTACTGTTTATTGTTTCTCTAATGCCGTGTTTGGGCCGTAAGGTTATGTACCATAAGGTCAGTGAGCGGTGAAGCGACTTTTAATTACCACCGCTCATTGAGTGCTACATAATCTTACGGCCCAAACACGGCATTAGAGAAATAATAAACAGTAATAAATAAGTAAAGAATATGATATTAAAGATTATCGATAATAGACAAGTTATTTTACATTACTAATTATAACAAATAAACATATTAATCATAGATTAATCCCTTTTTTATTCATAGAGCGCTGTCATTGAGCGGTCGTGGTACTGAATGCACCCAATAATTTCTCGCATTGCATATGTAATTATCGGATTATACATAGGTTTCATATAAATTTTATAATGATTTCGAGGACTCTGTTCCACGATTACATTAAGTGGTTACCCCCTCGTTTGATACACTCTACAGAGTGGAGTAAACTTTTTTCGTAAATATCATGATAACCATCGTAAAGTATGGTTTTTTTTACAAATTAAAAAAAATTAAACTCTGTACGATTTTTTTTCGAGGGGACATAATGTATCAAACTAACCTATACATTTTATTCAATTACCGCCAACATTATCATTACCCGATGCGCACCACGGAGAGGTTGCTGGTCCGAATTTACACGCGCGTGCGTGTGTGTGTGTGTGTGTGTGTGTGTGTGTGTGTGTGTGTGTGTGTGTGTATGGGGGGGGATGTAGGTATGTAGGGATATATTTGCTCTTTAAAATTGTGCATTTCCGCCTTGTCTTCGAATGACCTCTTGTAAACGTGCACGCATATTGATGCAAACTCTAATTGAAGCCTGAAAAATTTCCTATCATATTCGATGCTATGCTGCTTCCAATTGCTGCAGATTTGTTAGCGGTTCCTCTAATCTTCGTAGTCTCCTTCCCCTCATATTCTATACATATTCAATGAGGTTCAAATCCGCGGTTTGATTAGTGGATGTGATAGCATCTCGATGTTGTTTTCTTCGAGGAAGTTAATTGCAATTCTGGCTGCATGTGAGCGAACATTGTCTTACATCAAGGTAAAACATCGAGGTAAAACATCGCGCAAAATCGGACCAACAACCTCCCCATGATACGCATCGGGTAATGCTAATGCTGGCGGTAATTGAATAAAATGCATAGGTAAGTTTGATACACAGTATCTCCTCGAAAAAAAATCGTACATAGCTTAATTTATTTAATTTGTAAGAGAAAAGTCCATACTTTACGATGGTTATCATGACACTCACGAAAAAAATTTACTCTATTCCGTAGAGTGTGTCAAACTATGCAAATTTCTTAAAAAAAAAACATGTCCTTATTTTTTAAAAGATACCGGATAGGAGTAAGGATAGATCCATTGAAAGCTTCGTAAAATACAGACTTTGTTCTTGAAATTGAAAAAAAAAGACTTTTAAATACGAGTATGACCATTTTTCGCGGAGTTACGCTTATTTGAATTTATGAGAAATTTTGATATAAATTTACCTATGCAATAATTTTGTTGACGAGTGTATGCGCGTACAGAGTATTGACGTAGTAATATATAATGATGTGTTGATGACGCATAAAATCGTATGTAAGTCCTATTAAACCGGTAAAACAGACAATTTTGGGATTTAACATGATTGAATGGAATTTTTGTTTTCTTCTTCTTTTCACATTTTCATTTCACAATTTTAAAAAACCATCAATTTTGAGTTGTGACAATGGTTTTAATGGTTTTTTTTAACCCATCTCTTTTAAGTTGGGATAATTCTTACACCATTTTGTGAAGATAAGTTGGTATTCCTTTACATTAGGAGACACCTCTTCGATGACCTTAATGTTGATGTATGTTATAGAGGTGAGGGTACTAATCAACTCTTCCTTATAAATTAATCGGCGGTTTCTTGTAGTTTTCGAGATATATTTACATAAAACTCATTTTCAAAATTTCATTATTTTCTGTACATCGCACAACTTTCCACGCGAAGCGACTTTCACTCCACCTCCCCCCTGCTTAGGGGCGTGCGACTCCACACGAAGCGATTCTTATCCCACCTCCCTCTCTCCTACTTAGGAGCGCGCTTCTTCCATGCGAAGCGGCTTCCACCCTACCTCCTCCCTTGCTTAGGGGCGCGCGACTTCCACACGAAGCGAGTTTCATTCCACCTCTCTCCCTGCTTTAGAGGCGTCCGACTTTCATTTCCCTTGACAGGAGGGAATCATTTAGTAAGGCGAAGATCTAAATATTTTAGAAACTATAAGGGACCGCCGATTAATGTATAAGGAAAAGTTAATCAGTATTTTCACCTTTATAACATATGTTAAGGTCATCGAAGAGATGTCCCCTAATGTAAAGATTCACCGATAAGTTCATTTTTTATTATTGATAGAGTAATATTAATTGAATTCATTCATAGTAATAACTCGAAAACCACGTTTTTAGTTGCATCACTTTTAAAATATGGGAGCGGCATAAAGTAACTTAAGAGATATCTATAACAGTTTTAAAACTATTTGTTTAATGTTGCTATAATAAATTATATAAATCTATAATAAAATCCGAAACGTGATTGTCGCACTATTGCGGAAAAAATTGAAAACGAAGATATCAAATTAAATAGTGAGTATTTGTAAATTTACGAATAATCGTATAAAAAATTGAAATCTTAATATAAATAATTTCTTTCAGTTATGATATACGTAACTAAATTAAAATCATAATATCGATATTTTCTTTCGGATATGGATGCATATTTACGAATCTGCTTAGTTTTGGTACACGGTAATTCATCTCCTTTTACTTATTGGTGATGTCCATATCTGTACGATGTCGGCGACGATGCAACGCTATCTGAAAAATACAGTATGCAAACCTTATTAGATACCCTTGTCCTTGTTGTCTTTTCCATTGTCGTTTAAATATAACTAAAGTATCCTTCTTTATCTGTAATGTTTCATAACTTGTAACTAGCGCAGAGTAATTTCTATTGATACAGCAATTTTATCTTTTATTTTTCGGTCGTAAGGAGTGATGTGTTTTAAAGAACTTTCTTATTTCCTATTTAGACCAGCTATTATATTCCATAAATCAATCCTAGAAGTACGTACCCATTGATCTACTAAAAACGACAGAGGATGAACATTGACTCGTTGAGTGTCTCTGTGAGTCTTCATAAAAGACTGACCAGATCGTTCCCGAAATTCGTCGTTCGAAAAAACGTAAAATAATTCGACATTCGGCAATGGTACTTTAGATTCTTGAATATTCCGGATGATACTGTCTTTTAAACTGTTACGTTCCACAGTCGAATCAAATCTTTTACCATAACCACCATAACAGGTATGTCCAAATGCCGCACAACCACCTGCAAAAAATTAATTACTGATGTTAGTCAAATGGGTTATTTGCGTAATCAGGATAGTAATTCTGAGGTGATGTATTTTATTAAGTCTGCACAGAGAAACATTTATGTTTTTGTCTATATGTTGCTACCTGTCATATTCGAAAATCCCTGGCTATTTCGTGTTGATAGATATAGTGATCTTTAGAAACTTTTCCACAAAGACTGTATTTTATTCATTAAAAATCGCCAGGTAATAAATTTTTTTATTATAATAAAAAATAAGAACTTACAAGGAAGTTTCACAACTGTCCGGAACCGATTTGATTCTCCATGAAATATATTGTAAAACGCGAAAATATAAGAGACACGTATTTTTTTATACGTGTGCTAACTCATGTTTAAAGGGTGAAACACCCCTTTGAAAAAAAACGGGATTTTTCTTTCGAGGCGAATATCGTCGGAAGTATAAAAGATAGAAAAAAATTTTTTTAATAAAAGTTGTACGATTTCAAGAGTACTTTAAAGTTATAAAAGAAAAAAAATTTTTTCTTTAACAAAATACCCCCACCACTCGTAATTTTCATTAATTTTTAATTTTTTTTTTACCAAATTAAAGATTATTTTTTTACAAATTCAACCATGTGTAATAAAGTTACAATACGATATATCATTTTCGAGAATTAATTATTTACGCTTCCTTATATACGCTATCCATGCTAATATGCGAAAGTAATTGTTGTCGGAACAATAAGATATATGAAAAGATGTCTTAAATAAAATTTGTATAATTTTTTACATGTATGTGTATTTAGATTTTTTAAATATATAATTTTTAAGATATACAGGGTGTCCCATTTTAAAACTTCCACCCGATTATCTCAGAAAGAAGGCGTTTATCGAAAAAATGTTTCAGACAAAAGTTACAGGGATCAAGAGGGATCAACCAATGGTGATCTTGTCCTTGACCTTGGGGTCAAGTTTAAAGGTCATTTCAAGGTCAAATCGAGATTTTTAAATGGAAATCCCAATTTCTTTCTTCGGAAATGAAAAGAGCGGAAAATTTCACGTTCAGATATGTGGTCATGCGAGGGCCAAAATGTCCTCTAACATTCATTCCAAGGTCAAACCAATGAAACGTTGATAAATTTTAGGTATGCGGAAGCGCGAAACATATCCCAGACAAAAGTTACAGGGGTCAAAAGGGGTCGACCAACGATGACCTTGTCTTTGACCTTGGAACAAATTTGAAGGTCATTTCAAGGTCAAAGAATGTTTTTTATTTTTTTTAAATTAAACTCCCACATTTCAGTTCGAAAGTGCGTTGTGTTCAAAATCGTGTTTTAAATCAGTGCTCGGAACTAGATGCACATTTCGGGCTGATTCCGGCGAGCGACCCCCACTACCACTCGAGTCTCAGCGGCCGAGCCGTCGACCGCTCACGTGACGCTCTGGCTCAGGAGCGTCCCTATATCTTAAACGTGCTAGGGTCGTATCTTCCGTCATTGAAGAATCTTTCTTGCTAAATAATTTTTATTTTTTCAAAAAATCAAGTACTAAATTTTCTATTATTAATGTATTAATATGCTCTATATATAATAATATAATTGTAGCAATAATATATAATGTGTATAATATAATTAGAGTTCTTTACAATAGTTTTCCACATCACCCGTGAGGTACTATTGTTGACGCGTTTTTTTTAAAGTGGTTTCCCCAGTAGGCCTATTCCACTGAAAAAGATAATGAAATGGCTCGGCAGGAAGGCAAAATTTTGTATAATGAAATATACATATAAAAATAAACAGGAATCAAAAGAAATTGATACAACCAATTTGCATAGAAATATTAATTCGATTTTCTGGGTCGTTTGCATGATTCCACTAAAGACGGTACATCCACAGAGATTTTGAAAGAAGTAATTCGCATCAACGAGGATAATGATGCATCGCTTAAAGAAGAACGTTTATCATTTTTGATCAATTTCATTTTGGAAAATGAGCATTCGCATAAATATGTGGAGCCAAACATGGAGAAAATACGAAGACCACAATTCCTGAGAGATGGATAATCTGATGCATTTAAAATTTTAAAAAAATTAACTCCCTTTTCTGATCGATTTTTTAGAGAAAGATCACATTGCAAATCGCAAAGTTCTATCTGAAGATCTGGGCTTTGTTCCTCGATTTGCGCAGTGAGAGGATTTTCAAAAAGAATTAAATCTTTCCTAAGGATATCAAAATCTTTGAAACGCTTATCAAATTGGTTTATCAGGGATTCTATTAAAAATAAATGTTTTTGGAAGTTACAATTTGTGCCATGTTCTTCGAAGATAATTTGGCAAGATGGATAAAAATGAAATATATTATTTTCGATTTGATTTTTAAATAATTTTAATTTTCTTTTAAATGAATCGATGTGAGAAACTAATTGTGAAATAGTTTGGTCAGTTTTTTGCAGCTTTAGATTTAAATTATTTAAGTGATTTGTTAAATCAGTTAAGAGAGCAAGCTCGCAGACAGAGTCTAAATCTTGAAAAAAAGATTTGAATTCATCATATTTTACATCGAAATTATCTTGCAAGAAAAGAAAGATCTCTTTTCTTATTGTAAAAAATGTTTCTAGACATTTTCCTGCACTAAGCCACCGAACATCGCAATACAGAGGCACATCTGTATAAACTGCGTTATGCTCTTCGAGAAATTGTTGAAACTTCCTATGTGAAAGAAATTTATGACCACCTTTAATCATATTAATAATTTTGGTGACGGTTTGCATTGCACTACACAGTTTAACAACTTTCCCACATAACGCTTCCTGATGAATAATGCAATGTATAATAGGAAACTTTAAATCTCGCTGCTTTATTTGACCAACAAATCCAATTTTCGATCCTGTCATTGCTTTCGCGCCGTCAGTTACGATTGCCGAACACCTTGAAAAATCAGTGTCAAATTTCTCAAGAGTTTGGTTCACGGCTTTAAAAATATCAACACCTGTTGTTGTTTTATGCAATGGGACAAAATCTAGAAGCTCCTCGACATATGAAAAATCATTTTGCACGATTCGAACAAAAATGCTCAATTGACTCATATGTCGATTATCGGTGCTTTCATCGAAACATAACGAAAAAAAGGAACAAGATTGTAATAAAGATTTTAATTTTTCTTCCAAGCAAAGAGCAATATCATTTATTCGAGATTTAACAGCTTTGGCACTTAATGGAATGCTAGCAGCTTCCTGAAGAGTCAATAAATCTCCGAAAGACTGTACCGCTGCAACGATGCATTCCTTTACGAATTTACCTTCCGTAAACGGTTTAGAATGTTTGCCAATCAAATTAGATATAGCATAAGATGCCGTAAGGGCTTTTATTGAAGATGTAGTATCAGAACTCGAACTACAGCCTTCGATATCATAAATGGAACCTTCTTGATAAACTAGCTTTAATCCCTGAATTAAATCATGTTTCTCCTGGCCCATATATTTCGTGCTATATTCATTTGAATGTTTAATATTGTAATGTCTATGAAGAACATACTTTTTAACAACAGAGGGTTGATAACCACACAGAAGACAGGTGGTTTTATTATTAATAGATACAAAAAATATTTCTTCCCATACTTTGTCAAACGATTGCACGTACCTATTCATCTCTATATAAATTCTGTAACGAGATTACATTATAATAAATAAGAAATAATATTTACACGCACAGTATCATATTTTGTTCCACTAATAAGCACTAGTACACTCACAGCATTATCACATATTGTATTATACTTTTACATTTAGTTTCATGACACTATCTCACGTAGCACTGTCACTATTATGCAAATAGCACTTTCTGTTTTCACACAATATCGATCACCAAAACTCTATTACTCTATAATCTCGCACAAGACCTTTAACACGCACGTTTCGATAGCCAGAAACCGTTGAGAAACCGCGACGAAGATTAAACAAATGCACATCACGCGCCTATTCCTGCACGTTGATGTGCATTTGTTT